TAGCAATAGCAATAGCAATAGCAATAGCAGTTAGACTTATATACCGCTTCATAGGGCTTTCAGCCCTCTCTAAGCGGTTTACAGAGTCAGCATATCGCCCCCCACAGTCTGGGTCCTCATTTCACCCACCTCGGAAGGATGGAAGGCTGAGTCAACCTTGAGCCGGTGAGATTAGAACTGAAGATAACAGTCAGCTGAAGTGGCCTGCAGTACTGCACCCTAACCACTGCGCCACCTTGGCTCTAAGTTCTCCAGCTGGACAGATGAGGTGGTGGGTGTGAGCTCTGAAGAGTTTCACATGAACTCTGTCTGACAAACCAATTCCGAGATCCTTTTTGGATCTTGGGGGGTGGGGTGAAGAAGGGGCGTCTCATCAGACCCAGAGGGAGTGCAACAGGTCCCTCGTAGGTCAAAAATTTGCTCTCTGAATCAGAGTCGGGGTAGCAGCATGCAACATGGCTGCACAAGAAGCTGGCTTACAGCCAAAGCAACTGAACAGGAGCATTCAGGATGAGATGGAAGCCCGGTAAGAAGATCTAATTAACCCACAGTCATAAATCAGAACTTGGAAAAGGCAAAGAACCTCGAGAAAATAAATAATATTAATGGACAGATTTGGATTTTAGCAAAAAGAAAGAAAGAAGGGGGAAAATGGAGGGTTGAACCACTAGCCCCAAAAGAGCCATTTGCTTGAAACGCGTGTGGACAGAAATCTGGACAGAAAAGGAGAAAGAAGAAAAGTGACACACCCACTCAAATGCAAACTCTAAATTTGGTTTTGGATTTGAAAAGATTGTGTTTTTAAAAGAGACTAGGAGGTTGAAATGAAAATCAAAACATACCGAGGAGATTTGCTCCATTCAAATTTCTTCTAACTAACATATCTCAAGGAACTCCAATTAATGCGAGGTGAGATGTAACATGGGAAAAAAATCAAGAAAAAAGCATTATTTTCTCACTGATAACCTAATCTTGCCTGTGTGGAGAATGGAATGTGAAATTCTGAGCAGGGAGATTTAATTAACCAATTGCCATAAATCAGAACTTGGAAAAGCAGGAGGTGAAGAGAAACATACTGGAATTTGGCTGTATGTAAGTTTGTTCCAATTAATATATTTTGAGCAACTATAACCAACGGGGAGGTGGAAGGCAACAAGGGAAAAAAAATAATAAAATCAAGAACGGGGAAAATACGAAGTTTTTTCTCTCTGCAAAAGATCAAGATGGCTCCCAATTCTCTTCCTCTTTACAAATTTAGCTGAATGAGCTAAATTTAAGGTGGACCAGAACTTTGAAATAA